ATTGTTTAGTGTGGTTTAAATCGTAGTCTTGAACTTCTTTCTTTAGAAGCTGAAATGTGGCTTGTGACTCCCAAGTTCCAATTTCTTCCTTCTCTCTTTCTCTTTCGAATCGATCTCCATTAGGTGACCTTTCACCTGTTGTCTTTTGCAAGATGGTTCCTTTGTAAAATCAAATGCAACATAGCTCTCTCCAGCAGCAGACCAATTTTCCATGAGAAAACGACCGATAAGAAATGAAAACAGTTTGTTGCTGATGAACAGTGTTGTTTCTCCTCCTTGAGCAAGGATCTTCTTCGAAGCTAGTCACAACCAGCTCCCCTCATATGCGATCGATCATATGTCTCAAATATATAAACATCGCAAATATAATTTGAGGTATTATTTAACACATTAATTACAGAAATCCTACACTGTGTAATCAAACTGTAATTTTCTTTAAGTAACTAAAACATCCTTCAGGTTATGTATTGGTTACCTAACTGTCTGTCCTGAAGGATTATAGTTCAAGATGCTGAATCAGTATACAGACCCCCCCATTTGCTCATTCAATGCTGATGTAATCTCATTGTAGATTTCTGAACCCTGGAATTTATTCCCTGTTGTGTGCCATTGAAGTGCCACTTTTAGGTACAAAAATACATTTTTAGATCAACAATTCTCTTGGACTCAACTATTGTACTGTAGTGGATAACGCTCTTGCCTCGCAAGCGAGAGGACCTGGGATCAATTTCTGGGTGGGGCGAAGCCTTAGGCCAGCTTCTTTACTCCACACACACGCCTTTGTTTGCGGAGCAGTGAGGAAGGAGCCCGCTTGTTAGTTGATTGGCAGATCACTTTTCGGGGGGTAATAATCCACCCCTCCACCCCAGAATGGAGTGGATGGCCACTCAATCCACGACTAAACTTTACAATATATTCTGTGAAGCTCTTTGAGATATTTTGTCGATGTGCTAGGTGCTATATCAAATGCCAGGATTATTATTATTGTTATTATTATGCCATCTGCGGCTGGGCTTTCAGTGCAAAATTGGCTGCCACATTCGCCCGAAAACACACAGTCGCTCCACTTTGCAGTATATCCTGTGAAGCACTTTGTGACATCCTCCTAACATGAAAGGCACTGTATCAAATATAAGTATTATTATTCCTTTCCACTCTATTCTCTGAGGACTCCACACTATAGCCTTTGGGATAGAGCAGTTTTGAATGCCAGCAGTTTTGCCAGGATTCCTCTACATGAAGGTTGCATTAGAGCAATCTGACTCTAAGTCTAGATTTGTGATATCTTATAATGAGAATCATGCTGAATATAGCTGAACATTTTCCATCAGACAGAAGGGTCCAATCATGTATGTATTAAAATAGCTACTTTTTGGTTATGGTGTGTATTGTAAATTTGGTGAACTCTTCTGTTATCTTTATTTTGTTTTTGTGCAGCATTTATATTTTGTATATTCACTTTTGGGAATGAGATGATAGCTGTGAAGTTCTCTTTTGAACCTTTTTTGATCTGACATTTTCAATTAGGATATTTTTATCATCAAAGGGCTTTTTGAGAGGGAACTCCTTTGATGTTGTTTCTGGGCTTGTAAGAGTAATACAAATATCATTTAAAGCGCACTGAAGGGAACAAATCTAGGAATTCAGCAGAGAAGCTTGGAATAAATTAATTCTAATGCCCTGAAACATCCACTAATATGTAAATGTTTAAATGCCACAATGTCATTGTGTTGTTTTGTGGCATTAAATATAAATATATATTTCTTGTTTGACCCTCAACTATCCTTTCTATCCCACATCTGTGCTATGACCCGCTCTGCCTTCTCCAACTTCCGGAGCATCGCCTGTCTCCGCCACTGTCTCACACCGCAGGCCACCGAAACCCTCATATACGGATTCATTACATCGAGGCTCGACGATGCAAACTCCTTGCTTGTCGGCCTCACCAACTCCTCCCTCCATAGGCTGCAGATCATCCAGAACTCTGCAGCCCATGTCCTCTCTTGCACCAGGCTCCGTGACCCTATCACTCCCATCCTCGCCCGACTCTACTGGCTTCCCATCACACAGAGGATACAGTTCAAGATTCTGGTCCTCACCTTCAAAGCCCTCCATGGTCTTGCTCCTCCCTACCTCTGCAACCTCTTAATCCCCTACCATCCTGCCCACTCCCTCCGCTCATTGTGCTCCGGTCTGCTTCACGTCCCCGCCTCGCTCGCCCCATCATTGGGCGGGCTTTCTGCCACTCTGCCCGCACCCTCTGGAGCTCCATCCCAGAGTCCCTCCACCTTGCCGCCTCCCTTGCCTCCTTCAAGACCCATCTCAAGACCTTCCTCTTTGACCATGCTTTCGATCACCCTGCTTCCCCCCACCCTACACCCTCCCCAATCCCGACCCCCAGCTCGGGTCCGAAACTCTTGACTGTCCAGTACCTTGGGACGTCCTCCCGACGTGAAAGGTGCTATACAAATGTAATTTTGTTGTTGTTGTAAAGTTAGCGCATTTTCAACATTCAAAGAATATCCCAAAGTAAAGTGGTGCTTATTTGCTGCTTCAATATTATGTGAAGCAGGTCAATTTTGAAAGCAATAATTGAAATACTTTACTGGTTCAAGTGACAGTCTAAACATTTGGAAAGTTAATGATGACATTTGGAGAGTAAAGTAATGCAATCCTTTGTAAACATAAAAAACGTAATTGGCCCTCATTAATGGATGAGGTCAAACTAGCATTCATTTCTATGTAAATTCTGTCATTCTTGACTTACAACCACTAATGATTTGGTGGAGGTGAGAGAGGGTGAGCAAAAGTGCCCAACGTGACGGTTTGTATAGCAGGTACATTGGGGAACATGTTCCTTTAACTTAAACATTCTTTCTTTCTGCTATTTCATCTTTCAGATATTTTTTTTCTGTCTTAGACAAAAGTCAGTTCTTTATGCAGTTGCTACACCACCAGACATATTCCTCAACCTAGACCTACTATGCACACCTAGTACCTTCTGACAGTTATATTGCCAGGTTTCACAACATCACAAAGATTGGTTTGGATGAAGAAGGCCCTCATCTCTCTAGAACACCCACCAAACCTTCCCTCCATCACTGGCCTCTACCACCTTTCCTGACATGTTCCAGTTGTTTAACTATCTTATACTGGATCTGTGAATGCAGGTCATTAATGTATTAATTCAGGTTTGTTGGACTTTGACAAACTAGGAGAATGTTAATCTTTCTTAAAACTCACAGCTTCTGTTCAAAAGAATGTTCGGATTTGATCTCCTGAGCAGGTGGAAATGTTTTTTAAACTGTGTGCAGTCACTTGGCAGCTAATGGTTATGTTGTGATTCCTGAGGTTACTCCCTATCTTGCGTATTTTGCTGTAACTCTCTGCTTGTTTGCAATGGGCTATGGTATTTGGAACTGTTGCTTTCCACACAACTACTCCTATAGCATCACCTAGTGCTCAAAATAACTACAGTTGACAGTTGAGTTAAAAAGAATGGTCCACCTCAGAACAATACACCTATAAGATTGCTAGTTTTTTCCTTTTTGCTTTGTCAATTTGGTTTCTGGATGTAAACCCACCACAACAACAACAACAACTTGGATTTATATAGTGCCCTCCACTCCGGATGGCGTCTCAGAGCACTTTACAGTAACGGATCCCGGGACCGAGCCGGGGGGAGGGTGGGGTGTGGAAAGTGACCAAAGGCTCGGTCGAAAAGAAAGGTCTTCAGCAGAGACCTGAAAATGGGAAGGGAGGGAACGAGATGAAGGGAAGGAGGAAGACAGTTCCAGAACCTCGGGACATAGTGGCTGAAGGCACGGCCGCCGAGGGTGGAGCGGAGGACTCGGGGGACGAAAAGGAGTCCAGACCCGGAGGAACGAAAGCAACGGGCACTGTTTTGAGGAGAGAGGAGGTCAGAGAGGTAGGGGGGTGCAGAGGAGTGCAGGGACTTGAATACAAGGGTGAGGCTCTTGAAATCGATCCTCTCTGGTTTAGGCAGCCACTGCAGTCTGGCAAGGACTGGGGTGATCGGAGAGCAGAGTTTCTTTTGGGTGAGAATGCAGGCGGCAGAGTTTTGAATAATTTGGATTTTATGGTTGGTAGTGAATGGGAGACCGGCGAAGAGGACGTTGGAGTAGTCCAGCCGAGAGGTGACAAAGGCATGGACTAGGGTTTCAGTTGGTGGTGAGGGGGTCTAGGCAGCAGATGGTGGGTTTCATGGAGGTGACGGTGGGTGAGAGGGAGGAAGGAGAGATGGGGAGGAAGGGATGTAGAATGGGGTTGGTGGTAGGAGCAGATGATGAAGAAGGTGAGGGGGACAGCGAGGAGGTGGTGGTGGGTGACAAGGTGCAGCTGGATGAGGCTGCCTGGCGGATGTTAAGTATTTTAGATGAAAAGAAGGGGTGTGGGGTAAGTTGAGGCTACACCAACTCATGTATAATCAGCAATGTGTTTCTTATCGGAATCTTTATCTGCTACAAATGGGGAAAATGTGTCGGTCCTTGTTCATGCCTAGGAGATATCTGGCATTCCACCAATGTGGTGGAAACGTCTTTCGCCCACAAAATACAGTCAATCCACTTTACAGTACGTTCTGTGAAGCACTTTGAGACATCTCAACGACATGATAAGGCTCTATATCAAATCAAGCATTATTATTATCTTATCCTTTTATATAATGGAACATGTCATTGAGCAATGGGAACATTTGAATTCTGTTGTGTGGAATGTTTGAGTTATTTCAGTAACAGATGTTCAGAAATTCAACTGTTCTGAATCCAATTTTTTAATTTTAATAGGTAAAATGCATGTATAAAATGGGGATGGCTCTTATCCATACTGATGAAGAGTAAAGTACTATCGAGATTTTAGAGTGGTAGAATTTTAAGAAGTATTGTCGCTTTGACTTGTGTAACTTCTTAGAGCATTGTTCAAAGTGTACATATTACCTCCATATTTCATCACTGTGATTTATTTATCCCTTTGCTTTATAGGTTAAGAAGTGGCCTATTGGAAAGCATGGTTTACTCTTTGACCGAACTTGGATGATAGTCAACCAAAATGGCGTCTGTGTTAGTCAAAAGCAGGAACCCAGGCTTTGTTTGATTCATCCGCACATTGACTTGGAACAAGGCATTATGACCATCAGTGCAGAAGGTTAGCAGAAACATCTGGGTACATTGCAGATACTAATCTCAGAAATAATAATAATAAATAATAATCCTTGCATTTGATATAGTGCTTTTCACATCTTCTAAAGGTCTCAAAACGTTTCACAGAATATATTGTAAAGTGAATTGACTGTATATTTGTGGGCGAAATGCTAACTAAAGACATGTTCGAGATGCCATTTGTCCTCCCATTTTCCTACTTTATCAATGTCCTCCTGAAATCCTGTACAATCATTCTTACCAATTGCCAGCACATGTAGGGTTATGTTGTCTGTAGAGGATGGACAAACATAGCCTCCAATATCTGGTTTCACTTCAGGTTAATTCCTTTTTAATCTATGTTTTCTAGTTCACCTCTCAAGGTAAAAGTCCCATATATACATTATATATGCCTTTCAGCATTTTAAAGTGGAGTCCTGTAGCGTACAGATTAGGGCAAGCGAGCGGACCTGGGTTCAATTCCCAGGCAGGGCGAAACGTTAGGCAAGCTTCCTTACTCCATACGCCTGTTTACCTAATAGGAAGTAAGAACCCGGTTGTTAGTCGATTGGCGGATCGCTCTTCCGGGGCTAACAGTCCCTTAAAAAAAAAATTAATAATAATTTGGTCACTCTATCCATAACTGTGGGACACTGCTGTACGCAAATAGCTACCATGTATCTATCGCCCATAAATATATACAGTCAATTCACTTTACAGTACATTCTGTGAAGTGCTTTGAGAAGTCTCTCGAAGACGTGATAACAGCTGTATCAAATGGAAGGATTATTACTATTATTAAAATCCTAAATCATGCTTCTTCTTAATTACCTTTTTCAAAATGATTCCAGTACTGCAGAGATGACCTTGATACCCAGTGAATACAGGGTCAGCTCTAGCATACTCGAATCACTCTGCTTTATACCTTCTTCATTGATCTTGAATGTAACATTAAATTATTCAGTAAATTCATTCAATAATACTAGAGTTGTAGAATCAACCCTTTTAATAATAATAATAATAATAATAATCCTTGCATTTGATATAGCGCTTTTCACGTCAGGAGGACGTCCCAAAGCGCTTCACAGAATACACTGTAAAGTGAATTGACTGTATATTTGTGGGCGAACGCGGCAGCCAATTGCGCACAGCAATGTCCCACAAACAGTCGTAGATTGAAAATGACCAATTTAATTATTGTTTTTGGTTTTTTTGGAGGGATTATTATTAGGCTCTGTGTGGAGTAAGGAAACTTGCCCAAGGTTTCGCCCTGCCTGGAATTGAACTCAGGTCTCTCACTTGCAAAGCGAGTGCTCTAACCACTGAGCTACAGGACTCCAAATAAGAATAAACCTTATTTCACTGTTAATCATCCAAATACATGTCTGCGTGTATCTGGATGATTATTTTAGCAATCTGTGAAAACAAGAATCATGACCTTGAATTCAGATTATTGCCAAATCAAAGTTAAAATGTGATATTGCTTCATGTCTGTCTGTCTGTCCATCCATACAGTAGCCTGCAACAATACATAGATAAACCTGGAAATATTGAACCCGCAAGCATTGGAATAATTTGATTGCAGTCTCTGAGGAATCCAACAACAATTTACATTTATACAACGCCTTTAATAGCAGGAAGGTACCCCAAAGCGCTTCACAAGGATACCTGAAAACATACCCCAAAAGGTGGGGCAAATCGGGTGAGGGATATGAAACAGGCTGGTGTTAGCAGTTGGGTCACTGTTGCTGCAGGAGGTCACTGAGGCAAGGAGGGGCAAGTGTGTAGAGGGATTTGGACGTACCTCAAAGTTTTACTGGGGATCATTTTTGTTTAGTTTTGTACTCTGCAGAACACTGTGGTATTTCAGGTGAGCTAAGAAACTGGAGGTTTGTATTACAGCATTTAATGGTTTGATTTTATGAAAATCTCAGTGATGGGAGTGATTCGTTGGGGCAAAAAGCAATGGTTAGTAATGGGATTCACTATTTGTGACTCAGTTGCAAACGGAATCCTGCTGGTATGCATTGCCATCCGGTTCACAGGATCCCAGACCCAAAGTATCAGAAGTATATCACAGGATTCCTCTAAGATGGCTACGGTGTACTGTGCATTACCAGCAGAATTCCCATTAGGATTCCTGTTTTTGCCCACAAAATACATCATCAATCCACTTTACAACGTATTCTGTGAGCGCTTTGAGACATCTGAACAATGTGATAAAGTGCTATATCAAATGCAAGGATTATTATTATCATTGTTATTATAATAGGGTCTCTATATTGCTATTAGTGAATCATGTGGTGAACTGCTGCTTTTTCATTTCCAATGAAATATAAATTTCAGTTCCATAACATTTATTAAGGAATCAACTTCAGGTGGGATAAGTCAAGTCAAAATGAGATGCTTATCATAACAAGGTTTAATTGTAGCATTTCTTGAGTTTTTCAGATTTCTAAAAATTAACTTTTATAAGAAATAAGTTTCATGGGATTTGCTGAACTATATTGATGTTTTCTCAGTATATATATATATATAAAGTTTTATGCAATGCTTATTAGTTCAACATTCATTGTCAAGACTTTCTCTTTGTCTCAAGGCCTTCCTCTTAGACCATCTGTCCCTCCCCACCCACCTCGTGGTGCCAAGCTAGGACTGCCAAGCACCTTGGGAGGTCCTCTCAATGTCAAAGCCACTATATAAATGTAAATTTGTATTGTATTGAGTTCCCTCAGGAAATCCTGCTGACAATTGGCAGTAGGTCAGAGCCCACACAGCAGGAGCTCTGGTCCAAATTGCTGGAAGGCAATCGCAGTATCTCTGAGTTGGCAGTGTTATAATAATCCTAGCATTTGATATAGCACTCATCACGTCTTTGAGACGTCTCAAAGCGCTTCACAGAATATACTGCAAAGTGAATTGACTGTAAAGTTAACGGATCATTAGCAAATCCTACATCAGATATTCTGGTATTTTATATTTAGGAAAAAACACACATTACAGTAAGTAATAGTCAACGTCATTGTGTGCCACTGCTTTCTAGGCCTGTTATGGTTATCTTTTATTACTGTAATGTGTTTTGTTTTTTCTAAACATAAAGTACTAGAATATCTGAGGTCCAATTTGCTTTTAATGATGAGGTAATATTGCAACTACTGCTAACAGTTTGCCAAATGAACTGAGATATTTCAACAAGCTGTGGGTAAGCAAGTTCATTCACGAGTCTCCTAACTGATACTTCCTGTGTCAATTCTCTGCAAGCACATTGAGTGGATGATAGAGAGAGGCTGATGATCATACTGTTTGCTTGACAACATTCTGTTGATGGAGCAGCACTCAAGTAATTCCCAAAGGATTTTCTTGGCCATCATGCTATTTTTTGAACGTGCGTTATTATTTTTGCCTTGTTATTTTTGTTTTTCTGTAGATATAATATAATATAATGTCCACAGATGAGAGATTAATTAAGATTCTGCTCCCTGGCCTCTGCCTTTCTGCACCCAGTTACAACAGCATGATTGAGATCCCAACGGAGCCTAATATGTGACAATTTATAAATGAAACCCTGTGATAAGGAAACCAAAAGTACTTAACACCAACCCACAGGAACTCCACTTTAACAAGCTTTATTTACACAGCAGAGCTCCCATTAGTCTTTCCTGGCTCGGTGTCAAGCACCACCACTGTTAAGCGCTCCAAGATGCTACCCCGCAAAAAAAGGGTGCTGTATAAATGTAAGCTGATGGTGGTGGTGTTGTCGTCCTTATGATGTGCATTATGTATTTCTGGATACAGGAAGGAATGTCCACTCGAATTTCTTATAATAATATTAGAGGAATTCCTACATTTTACATAGCACATTTTGGGAGAATGTTTCAAAGCGCTTCACTGGATTTTCTGTACAGTGTAATAACTGTGTATTTTGTAGGTGAACATAGTAGCCAATTTATGCACAGCAATGTCCCACAAACAGCCATTAAATAAATATTATTTGAGGCATTGTTGTCCAGCATACTGGAAAAAACTCCCTTCTCTTTTTGAATATTGCAATGGGATGTGTAACATCCACCTGAACAGGCAGACAGGACCTCAGTTTAACCTCTCACTGAAGAAGGCATGCCCAACAGGTCAGCACGCTCACAACACTAAACTGTCAGGCTGCACTGCGCAATTTCAAAGTCCCAACATGAGATTTCAACCCACAATTTTCATGACTCAGAGGCAAGAGTGCTACCAACTGAACTAGGCTCATCCCATTTGGAAGAGTCATTTATTAGACTCTGTAGCTCCTCTGCAACCAGTGAACAACGCTTTGGGGAATCGAACAAGAAACCAAGCAGGAAAGCCTCTGTCACCACAACACTCACACCTATCACAAATATATAGGTGATTTTTTAGTTGCCTTCCATAATATTCAATTGAAAGTGTATATCTTCTGATAGCTCCACAGTACACAGAGGGTCAGTACCTGACAATTAGTAAGTGGCTGCCACCACTGGCCTTTGTTTCTTTGCAGAACTGAAAGTGTGTTCCCCAGAGCAGCTCCAACAACAGTGGTGTGTTCCAGACTTACTAATGAGTGCACACACTTACAGGACAAACAGGAGAGTCTTAAGGATATCATTTTATTGATTTAAAAACTGCAATTTCCTTTTACGGGTGTATTAAATTACAATATAGTTTTAAAAAATCATTCATTGGCAGGAAGATCTCCAGACCTTTAAAAAAACTGCTTTAAAAAGAAATTTGTAATTGTAATCCTACGGGGCTCACCAATTACAAGTACCACAACAACTCACATTTATATAGCCCCTTCATGCAATATAGCATTTCAAAGTGCTGCAATTAGGAGGTTTCAACGGATTCAGGACAGCAGGAAATGCATTGTGCCATACTGTACACACGTGCAAAACCAGATCTCGGGCAGTGAAGTGGAAAATAACCTGCAAGCTTTTTGACTGTATTCCATTCAATTAGACAGATTTATCTTTTTCTGGATTGAGATACTTTATGACCTGCTACATTTAATGATTTGTTTACTTCATTCAGGAATGGACCCTATAATGGTGCCTCTAGAAGAAGGAGATGGAAAACAGTTTCCATTTCAAGCCTGTCAAAGCAAAGTCTGTGGAGACAGGTGAGAATCTGAGACAAACCTATAACAGCTCACAAATAAATGTCTTTATTGCTTTTGGTGTCGGCACCATTTACTTTGGCAGGCAGAGCCTGAGTGGTCTGGTGGATATGTCAAGTTAATACAATTAATGGCACTGCAAGTGAAGTGTTACAATTTGGTGCAGCATTTCATCTGTTGGACAGACTGAGCTGTTGAAACATGTCACAGTCTGGACATACAGGATAAGTAATGTTAAATAAATATACATAAAGAATATGAAAGAACTTATCTTGTTGAACGGTCTCAAAGTGTTTCAGAACTAATTGCTGTCAAGTACGTGGCCTTATTTGTAGCAAACATGGTAGCCATTTGCTCCAATAAGGTGCCATAAACAGCCATCATGCAAATCACCAATTAATCTGGAAGACTGCAACATAAAAACAAATTTAGGCAGGAATATCATCATGTAACGCTAGCCTGCCTACACAAACCTCTGGGTTAAAAAACAATTGTTTGTGACATTATATTATACTTCTTTGAAATGGCTAATTTTTAAAAATCTTTTTATTTCAGTGATTTCTCCCCACTCCAGAAATAGTCTTGTTGAGTTTTTTTTATTAAAATGTATCTACTTGATTTATTTTTGGATGCCTCACAGGCATAATATTTTATTCAGGCTTTACAAACTGAGATCTTGGCCACTGATCAGAGGTTTGAGGCTCAGGCTTAACTATCAATCCAATCCAGTTGTCTTATTTAGGTGACGTTTTTGGCCTCGGCAAAACTATGAGATGGGATAACTTAAAAGGAAACAATGCAAAATGAGATTGTGTTTGACCAATTTCATAGACATTTTTGAGGAGAATGACTATGAGAAGCAATATAATGTACTATATCTAGACTTCCAAAGGGCATTTTATAAAGTACCACACGAAAGACGCAATTCATAATGGTCACTGGGTATCAAGGACAAGTCATGGACATAGATTCAGAATTGGCAGAAGGAAAGAAGCAGAAGGTCTTTTATAGGGGAGCCAGGTCAAAATAGAGGAGAGGTATTAAACAGTGGACCTCAGGGACTGTACTGGGACTCCTACTGTTCAACATATATATTAATAGACCTGGATTCACAGACTCAGTGTAAGATAAGTAAATCGGCAGATGATACCAAATTGGGGGGAACTGTGGAATCTTGTAAACCTAAAAAAATGTTTTACTTTAGGTTTCACGTGTATCAAGCTGCTTTGACTACCCTCAGTGGGGAGGGGGTAGGGGTTGGTTAGCAGGATCTCCTTGGAATGTGCAATACTTGACCTTATAATGAGATTTAAATTCATTGTTCCGTTGCTATAGAACAGCTTTATTTAAAAGATTGATTGTTTTGCATTTTCACCAAAATCTTTGTTTACGTTGACATTTGTGAGATAGCAGCCAAGACTAACATTCAGCACTCCGAGACACTATCCTGCATGAAGGATGCTATATAATGCAAGTTGTTGATGTAGTTATACAGTACTAACATGACATTGTGGTTAGTCATCTGAGTTTCTTTGGGGGAAAGGGTAAGATAGGCGAAGGGAGTTCAATAGACAAATCTACAGCAGTGAATTAGCATGGTTGCCATCTGTCCACCTGCCTATTGCCCGATTCCAACATTGCCCGACTCCACTACTGCCTCACCCCTCAGGCCTCCTCTTCCCTCCACAAGCTGTAGATCATCCAGAACTTTGCAGCTCGTGTCCTATCCCGCACCAGGCTCCGTGACCCCATTACCCTCGCCCGGCTCCACTGGCTCTCCATCCCTCACTTAAAAATTCTCATCCTCACCTTCAAGGCCCTCCATGGTCTTGATGGTCTTGCCCCCTCCTACCTCTCTCCTACCTCTTCTGACCTGCTAACCCTTTATCAACCGGTCCGCTCCCTCCATTCAGTAGGCTCCAGCATGTTCCATCGGCGGTCAGGCCTTCAGTCTCTCTGCCCCCACCCTCTGGAACTCCATCCCACATTCCCTTCACTCCTTCCCTTGCCTCCTTCAAGGCATGCCTCAAGACCCTCCTCTTTGACTGTGACTTCAGGTACCTTTCTAGCCTCCACCTTCCCTGATCCCAACCCCCACCGCTCAGGTCCTAATCCCTGACTGTTCACCGACTCAGTACCTCCCGACATGAAAGGTGCTTTACAAATGTAATTTTGTATTGTATTGCCCGTCAAACAATGTTTATGGGTCTGCTGGTAGAAGGCTTGTTTTTTTCAATGCCATTGGCAGGTTTCTCCTTTCAACAAGTGAAACCACTGAATATTGTCAATCGGGCACTATGGCACTATTCAAAAAGTGAGGGGAGTTTCTCCTGTGATCCTGACCAACAGATCCCCCAAATAGAATCCATGGTTGTTTATTGCTGTGCGCAAATTGGCTGCTGCGATCGCCCACACAGTCAATTCACAGTCTAGTATATCCTGTGAAGAGCTTTGAGATGTTTAGACAACATGATAAGACATTATATCAAATTCAAGGATTTCAAGTAGTAAATATGGGACTAAAATATGTAGATGCATTGGCTTTCACTAACCACAACCATTTAGTTGATGGCGTTGAGGTTCTATCTGTAACCCCTATTTAAACCCAATAGTCTAAATCTACATACAATGAACATTCATAATGATACATAGAACTCCTTTGCCAGGAAACTATATTTTCAAAATTCAAATTGAAAATTTGTGCTCCTAATATAGTGCATTGTAACCTGAATAAATGCATAAAATTGAGTTTGGCCTTGCCGTCAGCAGGTTCCAGGGTTCTTTATTTATTATCAGTCTTTTATTAAATGTTAAATTGTAATTTTGCCAGTGATCCTCTTGACCTCATAATGGCAGGTTTGACACAGAATAATGAAGGCTCTGACTTAGAGCAGAAGCACTGCTTTGTATTCCTGTAATCAATGCAGGATTTGACCTTTTAGCTGTGTCATAAACAAAGGCTTGTTCAGTGTTCACAAGAGAGGTTTGGTTTAAAAAGGCCCATCGGCCCATTTGACCTCATCTTTCCAGAATACAAATCTTTTAAGTCTTCTAGTTACAGCAGCAAGCTGTTTCTTAAATGGCTCCAGGGTCCTGTCCTCAACCATCCTCCATAGGACCCCATTATGTCTGCTTAGCCTTTGTGTACAGGAATACTTTCTGTCATTTGCCTTAAATTCTGTTTCATAACCCTGAACCTGTGCTTTCCTGTTGCTTTCGCATATATAACATGTAGTTCTGGGTTTATTTTCTCTTCTATTATGCATCTTATAATTGAAGGGCGAAACCATGAGCAAGTTTCCTTACTTCACATGCCTGCTAATAATTCCTCAAGAAAAAAAAACAAAAATAAAAAATTGGTCACTCAATCCATGACTGATTGTGGGACACTGCTGTGAGCAATTGACGCTGCGTTTTGCCCACAAATATACAGTCAATTCACTTTACAGTCTATTCTGTGAAGCGCTTTGAGACGTCTAGAAGAAATGAAAAGCACTATGTCAAATGCAAGGATTATTATTATTATATTCCTCTATTAATATAACATGACAAAACATCTATTTTCAAGCTTTAAAGTATCTGTCAAAAATTGATACATCTAAAACTGGGATTAGCCTTGGTATCGCTGAACCACCTCCAAGGCCCGAGCAGCCTCTTATGTTGAAATCAGATTTGCAGAATTCCAGATGTGGCAAATCAGAATGTTGTTCTTCTGGGGATCTAACTTATTTGACAATATATCTGACATCTTGTTTGCCTTGTTTATTGCTGCTTCACACTGTTTGGACATCATGAGCATTGAGTCAACTGATACCACAAGGATTCTTTCAACTTTTCCCTTGACATTTCCTGTCCCATTCATAGAACCATAGAAATGTATGACACAGTAGAAGGCCATTCATCCCATTTTTATGTTGGTGTTTATTCTTCTAAGAAACCAAATAGCTGCCGTCTGCATGTGTTAGTCTTATACTCTTTCAAAATGCCCCCAATCTACTCTGCTGTAAAAGCCACTCCTGGCAAATCATTCCATTCTCTGACAACCCTTTGCATGTTCTTCCCAACTTTTCCTTTCACTCTCCTAGTCACAATCTTGAATTCATGCCCTCTCCTCGAATCCCTTATCAGTAGGGAAAAAAAATTATGATTAATTTTTTAAAACACATTATTTTAAACACTTTTATCATATCATCCCTGAACTTTATTTTTTCTAATGAAAGGAGTGGTAACTTCTCTAACCTCGCTTCATTGCTATTTTCTTTAATTTCTGCTATCATCCTTGTGAACTTGTGCTGCACCCTCCATATAGCTCTAAAATCTACTATAGTATGTGGTGACCAAAGCTGCACACAATATTCCAGCTGGAATCCTGCTTGCACTTTTAATGACCTTCTCCATCTGCAGTCCCACTTTTAACTAACACTATATTTGTATCCTCTTGATCAAGAAGGTCCTAACACTGATCCTTGAAACACACCACTGAGAACCTCTACCAATTGGAAAACAATATTCCTTAATTCCTGCTGTTCTCAGCCAATCAGCAAAAATATCCCTTTATCCCCATCAAAAGCCTTTTGGACATCCAGTTACACTATTTTGTTTGCCTGTAAAATACATAGGCATTAAACTTTATAGTATATCCTGTGAAGTGCTTTGAGGCATTATCCTGACAAGAAAAGCACTGTATCAAATATAAGGATTATTATTATTATTCTCACTGTAAATTTGGAGTATCACTTCCTCAAAAAGTAATGAACTTAGCCAGACAAGATGTACCCACCTGTCATTAGGTTATAGTAAACTCCTGATAACTCTACCCTGGCTTAATTTGGCATTACCACTTAGTAGCCTTGCTGCAAATATCCTGGGTGCTTCCCATGCAAAATGTTAATAAGTGATTCCATTTTACTTGTCACTCTGCTTGACATATAAGTAGTCGCATTCTCAAAATTCTTATAAGTACATACAATGTAAAATTTATTGGATAACTCATCCTATAAGATGGTTTATTGCATTGTAGAGGCCTCCTGCCCTATCCTGTGACTGGTGTGGTGCTTGCCGGAGGTTGGGTGCACATTCTCAGATGCATTGCGAAGATCTTTGGTCTATTGGAGGGCATCGCCGTGGCCTCCCGCCCAGCCTTACACCCTATCCTGTGACAGGATAGGACGAGAGGCCACAGAGCGGCCCTCCAACAGCCAGAGGCCTCCATGATGCATCTGAGTATGTGCGCCCAACCTCCCCCAAGAGCCCATGTGAGTCACAGCACCCGCTTGTGGCCTGGGAGGACCTAAGCCCAACTCACTAATTCAGAAAACTCGTCGCTGAGCTGTTTTCCCTTAGAGTGATGACTTATCCAGAAATTACTATATTTTCATTAATATAATATAGATATATAGATAATCTTTATTTTTCTTCAAATTATTGATTCCATTTATTTTCTAATCATTGATATTAAGCAAATGGATCTTCAGTTGCCAGGCATATCACTGCTCTTGAATATATTATTTCAAATATTTTTTTATTTGCTTCTCTGTAGGCGATATAATAGTGTGTTCACTTGATGTAACTTTTTTNGGTGTAATCTCAGTATAAGTACATAATGTTCATTATTGTCCATACTGTGTTCTGACAGATTCCAAGTAATGAACATTTCTTTTGGATGAATAAGTGATGAAAACATGCTTATTACTCAGACAAGAAATAACTAATACCAGTGGCCAATTCAGTTGAAATAAAATCTTCAATTCAAATGCAAATTGCTGCATTATTTCAAAGAAATATGAAACTTAAACTTCAACAAAGTTTATATTAATATAGGGTAACCAATACTGCCATCTGCTGGCAAGGAGACTCCCTCATGTACGATACACAGTTACTGCACTTTATAGAAAACGGTATGGTATGAAATTAAGGATGATTATTTTTAAATGGAAAAGCTCTATTGGGGAAATTGAATATCAGAGGTCCACAGAGGTCATGAAAATTCAAATAAATTGTTATCCACTGGATAGCCCTCATCCACCAGTTTAATTACTTTCTCAAAGATTTCATGAGGCACAATATACTGCTTCTAAATCCATGTTGACTATTGCTTATAAGTAGCATTTAGATGAGCTTCAAATGAGCAGTTAGAGAACATCTTATACAACTGTCTCAAAGATTTTGACACTGTGCATTGTTAGGCTTTACTGGTCTATAATTTCCAGGCTCATGTTTCACTCCTTTTCTAAAATGCGAAATTTATATTTGATGTAAGTTCCAAAATTGTAAGATTCACTGCCACAAACTGCAAAACCCAAAGGCAAAGTGCTGAAAGGCCAGAGACCAAAATGTTTTTCAAACATCATATTTCAGACCCCATTATGTCTAGTATCTCCCAATCCCTCTGCCTTGTGTCCTCTTTTCCCTCTTTTAGATCATGACTGAAGTCCTTCCTCTTCAACTGTGTTTACGACCACCCCTGGTTCAGCGTCAGGTTCAACACTCCAAGATGCTGCCCTGTATGAAGTTGTTGTTGTAGCAGTGCCTTGGGATGTCCTATCAATGTGAAAGGTGCTATACAAGTGTAATTTGTTGTTGTTGTAGGTATGTTTAAAAAGTACATTTTTTTCACAGAGTAGAAGGACTGGACTGCGGAGAAAAGGTAGCAGCCTGGATCTCCATTTTCCTTGGTCGTCAGAGTCGTCTGGTCAGACAAAGCTCTGATTTTCACAGAAATGTAAAGAAGCAGTACACGGAAGGTAAATCTAAATACTACTGCAAACACAGCATTGTGAAAAAAAGCTCATTAAACATGCACAGAGAAAGTTTATGCAGAAAACAAAAAGTTGATAAGGAAACTGAAAGGCTTACAATGTCAGCTGCTAGAAAGTGCACTGTCTGAATCTGGATTTGTGAATGAGACTTATGAGCTCAAGAGCTCAAGCTGCGTACCTCCAAGTACTTGAGCCACCGCTCAATGGAGAGGGGGTAAAGCCCTAACAGAGAGTGGCCCTGGTTGGACAAGCAGCAACAAGCTTACCAATGTGTGATTTTAACTGGTTAAACCTCTCCTAAGACCCAAATGCAGACTTTGGGTTCCCCAAACCGTTGCTTTTGCCAATTTGTGCCTAAACTCTCTGGATTTGGAACTTATTTGATTTGGAGACCATTAGGTATGGTAATGGGTTTCTGCATGTGCCAGATACCCAGCTCATCAAACATTTTATAACATTTTACGCCTCATCACAATTCTAAAATGTACTGTCGCTGCAGAGCACTTGGGCATAAACATTGTGAGAGAATGAAACACTGCTGCTAATGACCCTTTTGAACCTCTGCGCTGTACTGCCATTTTAGAGTAAGCACCTCAAGACAAGTAGAGGTGAATTTGCTTCTTCCTGCAAATTTTAAAGTAGTTTTTAAATACATTTCATGTTTTAAAAGAAGAAAGGACGATACTGGGCTTTTAATGTCAGATAGGATTACCTACAGGAAAGGCAATCCAATTTTGAACAATTTTAAGTAATGTTGGATTAAAAATTAAAAAATCAGTATTTTTGACATGGAGCTTATTCAAAAATTGATGCGGCTTTGACAAAAATAACCTGCTTTAACATCCCCCCCTCCCCCCCAAAAAAAGTTCAATGTAAACTCAAGTCTGTCAACATTCTTTTTAAAACAAGAAATCACATTGCCACATACAATCACATTAAAAATCACATTGCCACATACAATCATGAGAGGATTACATGTCCCAAAAGATGTCCATTTTGTCATGCCTTCTTGCTAAGCTAATATCAGAACTCCTTTTGAAATTGCTTTGCTTTCTACATCAAGGAGTAAAAACTGGTGTAAACTTATTTTCTAAAATCCTAAAGTCTAGATTACCTGAACTTTGAAGTGACATTTCCATGCAGAAAAGTGTTGTCAAGTGTGCAATAAATTTGAATGTAGTTATGAGCTAATACTGGGGCTGCATGAGTCTAACATTAAAGTGAGAGAGAACCTTTACATGTCTAATTAATCCTCTACTATTTTCCCTTGTTCCACATTGAAATTCTTGATTTGCATCAGATAAATATTATAATTCAGATTGCCAATAATGTGCCAGTGAAATTGCCAGTGAAAGGGAAGTGATAATATGGAACGGTTGTGTAATATCAAGGATATTTCAATCCTAAAAGAGCAAATACATAGTAATAATCCTTGATAGAATGGCTATAATGTCAAAATGCTTCGCAGTGCTTTGAGAGCACCATGTGTGATGATACCACCTGAGGGGTACCCCAAGGCTCCATCCTTGGCCCCCTTTCCTTATCTATATGTTCCCTCTCGGCAATGTCATCCGCAGACATGGTGTCAACCTCTACATGTATGTAGATGACACCCAATTCTATTTCTCCTACTCCATCTGAGACTCCCAGACTGCTGATGTTCTGTCAGCTTCTTTGACGGACATCAAGGCCTGGATGAGCAAATATTTCCTGCAGCTGAATGTTGGCAAAATGGAAGCCATACTCTTTGGCTCCCGTCAACGTCTTCTTTCCTGCAGGTCTGAACTCCTCAACCTCCCCGGGCTCTCCCTCAGACTCTCTGAACCCAAGCGCAATTTAGGCATCAGGTTCAATTCCTGTAGTTTATGTGAAGGTTTGTTGGTCAAGACACTGAGAGAAACTCATTTAATCACTTTACAATATATTCTGTTAACTCTATGAGACGTCTATGGAATAAGGTGATAGGCGAGAGATCTGGGTTTGATTCCCGGCAGGGCGAAATGTTGAGCAAGTTTCCTTACTCCACACGCCTCTGTTTATTAAGTAGTAAGTAGGAACCCGGTTGTTAGTCGATTGGAGGATCGTTTCTCCAGTGGTAATAATTCCTTAAAATAATAATAATAAATTCTGTCACTCAATCCACGATTGTTTGTGGGACACTTCTGTGTGCAATTGGCTGCTGCATTTGGCCCACAAATATATACAGTCGATTTGCTTTACAGTATATTCTGTGAAGCACTTTTAGACGTCTCGAAGATGTGATAAAGTGCTATATCAAATGCAAGGATCAATATTATTATTCTAACAGTCAATTTGAACACAGCAGGCCCCACAAACTTCCATGAAGTTAATTTATCTGAAGGTTTGTTGTCCAAGGAGGGAAGCTGGGAAGCAATGACTTGTTTCAGCCCAATGGAGAGAAACTCTCTTCACCTGCATGTTATTCTTGTCAGCACCTTGGGACATCCTCCCGACGTGAAAGGCGCTATACAAATGTAATTTTATTGTTGTTGTCAAACTTTACGATTATAGAAAATATGTTTATGTTCGCCTACAAAATATACACCACCACACTTTACAGTAGATTCTGCAAAGCTCTTTGAGATGACTTCCCAATGTGAAATCCATATCAAAGTCAAGAATTATTATTATTATTTATTTATAACATACAGTTTACACAGATATAATTTACAGAAATTGTGGAGGCATAATATATCCGTGTAGAATGCAATATTTACAAGAATGTGACAGAGAAAAACCTGGTCAGAATGTCATTGGTAACTTTGACCAAAGCTGTCTCCTGTGCTGAGGGTAGAAAGGAAAGTAGATTGGAGGGGTTCAAGCAGGGATTGCCAGGAGAGGAAGGAGGGAAGCTGGGAAGCAATTACTTGTTCCAGCCCAATGGAGAGAAAAAAAACGTTTGAGATGGAACAGTAGTTAGAACAGTGGATGAGAATGTCGTTCCAGTAAATTAAATATTAACATTTCTTACAATGGTTCAGTGACTTTAAAGGGAACATCTACCACTTTTGACTATTATTCCCACACTTTTGCTAAGCAATGTGGCAGTTATTTGCTTTATTTCTTTGAAACAGGAATACTTCATGTGGAAGTCCTGTAGCTCAGTGGTTAGAGCACTCGCTTTGCAAGCGAGAGACCTGAGTTCAATTCCAGGCAGAGCGAAACCTTGGGCAAGTTTCCTTACTCCACACACCTAATAATAATCCCTCCAAAACCAAAAACAATAATAATAAATTGGTCATTTTCAATCCACGACTGTTTGTGGGACATTGCTGTGCGCAATTGGCTGCCGCGTTCGCCCACAAATATACAGTCAATTCACTTTACAGTGTGTTCTGTGAAGCGCTTTGGGACGTCCTCCCGACGTGAAAAGCGCTATATCAAATGCAAGGATTATTATTATTATTATAGAGAACATAGACGGTTCAAGGAAAGGTTTTTTTTAGGGTGGGTGTGATGATGGCTGTTTTTTAAAGGGGTAGGTACATTGTCAGTGGACAGAGAGAAGTTGATTATGTCTGTTTATTGGGGGGAAAGTAGATGGAGCTGGGAGATAAGGAGAGGGATAAGAATGGGGTCATGGGTTTCATTTGGGAAATGAGGAGGTGAGATCAGAGGGGAAACAGAGTCAAAAGTATGGAGGGAGGATGGGTGTGAGGCAGAGGGGAGGGTGTCAGTAGAAAGGACTGAGGCAGCAGAGTGGATCCCCTGGACTTTGGAGTCAAGGAAGACCATCATCTCTTTGCATTTCAAGTGGAGGAGAGGATGGGAGAGGCATGGGAAGGTGGACGGAGGAGCTAGTTTGTGGTAGAAAAGAGGAGCCTCGGGTTGTCCTTGGCATCCAGGTTGATATAAAATATAGCTGCTAGGCACTAACACATGTTCAGAGTTTGCATAATGTTTCTAGACAAGCTTAGCTCTACTCCGGTGTCTTCCAAACTCTGCCTTCCTTGCTGCCTTGTCCATTATTCTGTATAATAATACACTGATAATACTGTATAATAATACACTGTGATTGATCTTTTTTAAAGTGTGACTTGCAAAGCCCTTCATAAGTCACTGCCACTTACCATATCGCCACTGGTCTCATCTCACCCATATAATCTGCTATTAATTGCACTCCTTTGCTTTCACATTTTATCAACTCTAAAAATTAGATTATTTTTTTACAAAATGGACCTGAAATTGGCAATTAGTTTGTGAAGAGCGGATGCGGCTCCTTTTAAATCTATATTTATGACATCATAGAATCTCTATTAGTGACTCACATAGACATCTTCACCGTACTGGAGGATTGCTTGGAAATGAGTAGCTAAGTGCAAAGTACCAGTGAAACAACCTTTCATGTTATAGTCAATTTATCACTGAATTTCAAAGTACAAAAGCTATTTCCAATTCATGAGTTCTTCATATTTTCTAGCTCCCAAACACTTCACTGAATTTGATACAATGTTCAGGTTGCATGGTACTTTGACTCATCTAACTGTTTCTCCTTGTTTTGCTATGTCTCAAAAAAGGTTTTGGAGGAAACAAATCTTTTTTTAAAAAAAACAATACAGTAGTCTGCATATGCAATTCATTGAGTTCCAGAGAAGTCAGGTTTTAGAACAAAAAAGCAGAGAAGATAAGTAGGCCATTTGAGATCCTGTAACATTATTCTCTTGGTTCATGGTTCTTCATCAATTGAATCCCACTTTGAGCCTATAGTCTAGTCTGGCTCTGCAGTACAGTGTTGGAGTGTGTTGCATTGTTACGGGTGCCATCCTTCAGATGAGACATTAACCTGAAGTCCCATCTGCCAGTTCAGATAGACGTTAAAGATCCCATGATACTATCCGAAAAGAGAATGGAGTTTCTCTCAGCATCCTGGCCAACAATCCCCTAGATAAAATTGGTCTTTCTCTTCATGGCTGTTTGTGGGATAATGCTGGGCACAAATTGGTTGCTGCATTTCCCCACAAATATACAGTCATTACACTTTACAGTAAATTTCGTATATTTTGATGAGATGATTATGCACAACATCAAAAGCTAGGGTTATTAATTTTGATCAACTGGACACACAAAAACAAACTCTGACCCGCTAAAACATGCCTTCCTGGATGTGGGAACGGCTCTTAAACAGCTGAAGCCAGGATGATCCAACTGGTGGACCACATGCAGTACCCGGGGAAAGATTTCATCTGGCCCACCTGCTCCCCGCTTCCCGGCTAACTGTCCTCTCATGGTAGCAGCAGGAGCCGGCAGTTGGGAGGACGTGGTTGGTAAGGAGATTCAATTTCTTTCCCCTCAGAGGGGCTCCATGACAGCCTGCAGTAATTGGCAGCATTATTTCCACTCCCCACAGCTCAGTGAGCCACTCTCAAGCTGAGGAGAAGGTAGCAGGTCTTCTTACTCACTCCCGGCTCCTCCCACTGCCAGATAGTGAGCCGGGAGAGTCCATTCCCGCTGGCAGATAGTGAGCCATGTGGCTGATTGAAAGACAGAGAGAGGGTGATTGAGAGAGTGATTGAGGTGGGGGAGTGGGGGTAGAGAGAAGGGAGGGTATGAGAGAGTGGCAGTGAGAGAGTAATTGAGAGCATGTGTGAGAAAGGAGAAGAGTGTGTGTGAGGGAGGATAAAGAGAATAATAATCCTTGCATTTGATATGGCGCCTTATTACATCTTCTATACAAATGTAATCTTGTTGTTCTAGACGTCTCAAAGCACTTCACAGAATAGAATGTAAAGTGAATTGACTGTATATTTTATGGACGAAATGCAGCAGCCAATTGCGCACAGCAGTGTCCCACAAACAGTGGTAGATTGAGTGATCAAATTATTATTTTGTTTTTAAGGGGTTATTACCCCCGGAAAAGCAATCCGCCAATCAACTAACAACCGGGTTCCAATTTACTGCTGTGTAAACTTGCGTATGGAGTAAGAAGACTTGCCCAACGTTTCGCCCCTGCCCGGAATCAAACCCAGGTCCTTTCGCTTGTGAGACGAGTGCTTGAACTACTGAGCTAACAGGACTCCACATAATTAAGAGTAATTGAGAAAGAATGTATGTGAGGGAGTGAATGAGAGTGTATGAGAGAGAGAGTGTGGGAGAGGGAGAGAGAGGGGAAACGAGTTCAGCGTTTCATGGTTCACTATCAGGACAGACGATCGGAGCCTCCTTTGGCCATCGTGTGGGGGATCCGAGAATAGACACCATGCCGTGCCATTTCCTCACAGAAAGCTCCCTCTTTCTCCAGTGAAAAACTTCATCCTCCCTCCCCACCCTACCTCTGTGATCTCCCCACCCAGCCATCCCTTTGCCCAGCAAACACTGGCTTGTCCTCCACCCCCCCCCCTCCACCCCAACTGCCTCACTATCACAATTTTGCCCCCATTCTCTTGAACTCCATTCCTGGAGTCCCTCTGACTCGTTTCCTCCCTCCCCTCTCCTCTTTCAAGGAAGATCAATACCTAACTCTTTGACCGGTCCTCTTTTCACCTCCCGACGGACTGCCCTCAGCTCCCAGTTCCAGCTCAGGTGCCCAGCTGGCAGTATTGAGCGCTTTGAGAGATCCTTCCAACATAAAAAAGGCATTGTGTAAATGTTATGTTAGGTTTCTGAAAGGGAAACAGAAAAATATTGCTTATGTGGCCTGCGGATGTTTCTCAAATGCGGCATCCGGCCCTCAGCAACCAAAAAGTTGGACCACCCTGTCTTAAGCCCATATCCATTAAACAGGTCTCACATACTCGAAGGATCTGGATGATCCTTGACATCTGCGGTATGGCGAGGGAAATGGACTGGCAGCTGATAGGCCAAATCACGCCAACTCGTCCCCTGCTCAGCCCGCTATACCTCACAGAATCACAATCCTCACTCACCTCTACATTGCAACTCTGTTCCCAGACTGACTAGACAACATGCTCCCACTCTGACTGACTCCCCCACCCCCTCCCATGGCCTCAACTAGCCAGCCCCACTTCCTCATTACAGTATTGTGTAACCATGTTTTTTCTGAGTTCTGTTAATATACTGTTATAAAAAGTGTCCTATTGGTTGTGGAGTCCTGTGGCTCAGTGGTTAGAGCACTCGGTTTGCAAGCGAGAGACCTGAGTTCAATTCCAGGCAGAGCGAAACCTTGGGCAAGTTTCCTTACTCCACACAGAGCCTAATAATAATCCCTCCAAAACACAAAACAATAATAAATTCGTCATTTTCAATCCACGACTGTTTGTGGGACATTGCTGTGCGCAATTGGCGGCCACGTTCACCCACAAATATACAGTCAATTCACTTTACAGTATATTCTGTGAAGCGCTTTGGGACATCTAGAAGACGTGAAAAGCGCTATATCAAATGCAAGGATTATTATTATTACGTGGCACTGAATTTTACTGTAGATTGAAGTAGCTGTCGTCTGCCTCAGATTGCAAATGGCTGTGACTTTGGTAGTGTGGCCTTTGGATATTGATGTGGGTGAACATCTTTGGAATAGGAGTGTTCAGTATCACAGGTAGCCTCAGACTCCGAAAATGTGGTAAACCAACTCTTAAGGTTATTGGAAATGATAAACATACCAAGCAATATCGTAAATCACAGCATTCCTCGAACGTCTTGAAGATGTGATAAGGGGCTATATCAAATAATAATCCTTGCACTTGATATAGTGCTTTTCACGTCTTCTAGACGTCTCAAATCTCTTCACAGAATATACTGTAAAGTGAATTGACTGTATATTTGTGAGCAAAATGCGGCAGCCAATCACACACAGCAGTGTCCCACAAACAGTCGTGGACTGAAATGACCAATTTATTATTGTTTTTTTTCTTGAGGGATTATTATCAGGCATGTGGAGTAAGAAAACTTGCCCAAGTTTTCGCCCTACCGGGAATCAAGGATTATTATATTTATTATAGTTAATCTGTTTTTTTCAGCATTTTTGACTAAGAGAGGAAAATAGGAGAGCTCCCTGCCCTTTGAAATAATGCTAGGGGTCCTTTAACAACTATATATTCTAGGTCTGACTTTCAAATAAGGTACGATAATAATAAAACAAGACCGAACATTTGTTTGGTATTAAAGGGCATTTTAATATTGCAAGCACAATGTACATATGAGTTGCCAGCAGTCTCCAGGTGAGGAACCAGTAGATGTATGCAATTTGATTCCTTTCACTTTGTGTGTGTGTTGCATTGTTGACTCATACCTGGTTTTAGTTAGCTCATAGCCTGCAAGAGATTTTGCAACATGTAACACGTATTTCGCCCACAAAATAGTCAATTCACTTTACAATGTATTCTGTGAAGCGCTTTCAGATGTTTTGATGATGTGATAAAGCACTATATCAAAATGCAAGGATTATTATGATTTATTGTTAAAATGTCTACTTGAAAATTACTTTACTAGTTTGCAATAATAGTCAAACTAATATAACCTTACATTATTAATATAGATTTTACTTATGATCCTTTTTCGAGCTACATCTACCTCAACCACATTGCCCATTTTGTTTCTTTATCAAACTGTGGCTCTACTCCCGACCCCAACTTCCGCTCTGCCAATTCATGTTTCCCACCTTCTACATCTCCACCGGTTACAGATAGTGGAAAGAATGTGAGAGGAATGCAATGGAGGGAATTGGAAAGAGAGTCACAGATACAGTAAATCTCTCTCCAATTCCCTCCATCAAATTCCTTCTCTCTCTACTTTCAAAATCCATCTAAAACCTTATCTCTTTTAGGATCTTGAGTGGCCTCTCACTCAATCCCTATCTCACCCCCTGCTCAAGGTACTACTAGGTCTCCAATGATCTCCAATGTTAAAGTTCTTATATAAATGCAAATTGTTGTTGCTGCTGTTCTACATATGCAATAATAAATTTATTTTTAATTTTTGGTTTAAGGCCAGGGTTTGACCCAAACACATACCCTGTCACTGGTGAATGAAGCCCAGTATCTTCTCATAAACAGAGCGAGTATAAACCATCTCAAGGAGCAGATAGTAAACAGGTAGGAAAGATTCAGTCAAATTGGATTTTGAAGCAATGTTGTATAAGTAGTCTCATGTATAATCGAAAAAAAATTGCAAACGACACTTGAAATATGACACCAAGTCAATATCACCTGTAATTTTCATGTGAAGAAATAATCATTGCACATCTATTGGAATGGTTTTAAGCAAGTTAATTTTTAATGAGGAAGAGAATTTGTTAGAAAAATTGTCTTAAATTTCACACATTTTCTCACGTTATTGATCAAAATAAGCAGTAATTTGAAGTAAACGGCTTTCTTTATCTTCTGAAATGATAAGCATCTTGCTATTAACCTAACAACTGTTAATCTCTTTGAGGTAATTTTGTTTCCTTTCACCACATAATCACACCTCTTGATCCAGAGGTTTCCCTTTCTAAGTGTTTCATTGAGGTCTAAAAATAGTGATTTGCAACAAGATTCACTAATCAGAATCTCTAACAGGGAATCCTGATGGTAACCAGCAGCCTCACAACCAGGCTGAAACACAAAATCCCTGCGATCTATTTTAAATGGGGTTCAAAGCAAAGCATATTTATGTTTACTCGCCTTTAAATTAGCAATGGTATGATTTGGTTTTGGTTTGGTAACTGATGTGGATGCTTACTTTTCAACAAATCCTATTAGATACAAAAACGTCAACATACAATGATAACAAATGTCTTGCATGATGTGATGAAACTTTCACTGCCTTCTCTCACACAACAGTGATAAAGCTGACATGCACTGCCCAATGGTAGTATCACTGGGCAGCTGGACTTGTGTTTCTTTCTGTATGGCAGCAGATGGTGGACTTGGCAGAACATTTTAAATGTTTTTGCTTCTATAGAATCATGCAGCTAAATATTGATACTGAATCCATAGAAGTAATATTTAGAGTCAAAACAGGCCAATGAATTTAAATGCAACTTATCATAAAGTTGAGTCCTGTAGGGAAAAATCCAGCTTTCACAATGTTATAAGAAAGATTAAAACATCATCTGCAGTTAGAATAAGTCCCATTGCAACAGAATTCCCCGGAGGCAATTGGGAAGGACCAAGTTGGTGTTGGATTTAAGCCTCACCCTCGACTGCCAGTTACTGGGAGTCCAGTATTTTAGTAAACAACAAAAGGAAAAGCTGATATCCTTCCATGTGTGAGCCAAAAGTTCAATAGAGCAAACCTTGCTTCTTCAGGCTCAGTATTGAAATGGATTCAGGAGGAAGCCACTTCCTGTCTATTCACTCCATATGCAGAATACGTGACTTAGATCACAAAAGCAGAATGAAAGTGAACACGTTTAAATTTAAAAACCCAAGGATGGCTCCCTAATGGTTCAGTGAGTTTCTTCAGTGTGTAGCTGAGTTGTATAGATTGGGGAGGTCCCATATTGCATTCCTGGGATATGCTGAGTTTCCTGATACCCACCAGGCCAACACTAATATTAAAGGATCTACAACTGCCTTGAGCTGCTCGGATTAGGAAGGTAGCAAATCTGTCATGCTTCTAATGTGTGATTGTTATCTAGTGACCCCGCTGTAGGTCCACAGGTATGGACAACCTCAGAGGCCACTCTGAGTTCCAGAGTTTTGCACCATGTGTATCATATTAAACATCTGGTAAAATGGTACAGCACCTTTATTGTCAAGTAGTAATGATTATGTGTATTTTATATCCAGGTATGACATAAAGTATTTTTTAAGAGTTCATGTTTTATACAGAATATCACCAATAGACCATAAAATCATTGTCATGAAATTCTATTTAAATTGTATAAAGTGTATTTCACAAGATGGCCTTACAACGGTGTTTTCTCATTGTAAATTGACATTCTCAACGTCGCAACATTTTCGACCACTCTTGTTTATATTGAGTTCTTGCCTAACGATATCTAGCAAACACAAAACAGAAATTGAGATACAGATCAATAGATTAAACTTTGACAGTGCTAATTTTAGTTTAATACTTGTCACTTCAGAATAGGTTCTAATTTTATGTTAAATGTACATTTTTGAAGCTGTGTATATAATCCTTGCATTTGATATTTGATTATGACGTCTTGAAGACGTCTCAAAGCACTTCACAGAGTATACCGTAAAGTGAATTGACTGTGTATTTTGCGGGCGAAACTCAGCAGCTAATTGCGGACAGCAGTGTTCCACAAACAGTCATGGATTGAGCGACCACATTTTTTTTTGAAGGGATTATTACCCCTGGAAAAGCGATCTGCCAATCAACTAACAACCGGGTTCATACTTACTGCTAGGTAAACAGAGGTGTGTAGAGTACGGAAACTTGCCCAATATTTCGCCCTGCCAGATCCACTCACTTGCGAAGCAAGTGCTCTAACCACTAAACTACACTGATTATCATTTTAAATGATAGGAAATTGTTGAATATTGTTTCACTTGAATATAAAATCTTTGGTAGAAATTATTTCTAAATTAGTAGTTGAGATTAAATCTACAGTATTTAATGTGTACAAATTATTTTTAGTGACCGAGTGTTTCATGTTACATAAGATGCTATGTTTCTGCAACACCTATGGGGGAAATTTATGGACAGTGATAGATGATTATCACTCAATGATGTTAATTATTACACAGATGGAATCTATGATCCTTTGTGTCTACTACAGTATTTAATGTTTAGTTGGAGCTGAATGCCCCTCCAAATGTTTTTTCCCTGCTGGCTTGTTCGGTCTTGGATCAGCGGCATATTTTTAAAAACAATCTAAGTTTTATTTTTTAAATTCTAGCCACAAGCCTGGCTCTTTGCCTTAATTTTTTTAGTATTTTATTAGTTTTATGTTTATTTTTAGGCCATTATCTGGAAAAGAAGTGCAAAATTTCTCCCAGCCCAATTTATAATTTTAGAGATTGGAGGCCTGATAGAAATGGCTCAAAATTTGCGGGCTTCCAAGATAGGAATATAGGTGTATCATGATGTATTGGATGTTCACATCCAGTACCTGATGAAATGCTGCATATTTCATGCCAATATATCACAATGGTGTTCAAGAATAGTATAAAGTGAAAAACAGTTGAAAGCTGGCAAAGGCTGTATCCATTGATGTTCTGGGGTGAAATTCACTTAGGTTTATCCTTGACTGGTCCTAGGCCCAAATCCTTGACTGTCCAGCACCTTGTGACATTTTCCCAACGTGAAAGGTGCTAAACAAATGTAATTTGTTGTTGTTGTAGTTCTAATCATTTTCTATTACTGTATTTGTAGTTTAGTAGCAGATGATGTTCATCAGATTTTCTCAACATAATTAAAGCAAGGCAGAACTCATCCACTGTTGTCTTTAATAGCTTTCATAATAGGAGTAATATGGAAAAGCAGTTCAGCAAAATTATTGGCGAGGTATTCAAGAGAGCTTCAATTAACTCCTAGGGAATATTATTATTTAGATGCTGAAGCACATTTTTATGGCTGGTTTGGCAATGTGTTCAAAAGAGTTTTTATGAACTTATTTGGCTACTTGATCAAAGAGGTGACACAAGCATTTCTGTGAAAACGCAAAGTACCACAAGGTGAAAAGGGGCATGTTTGCAAGACTTTACTTGTCAGAACATGAAAGTACAATAAAACTCTTGGAATAATCACTGATGCAGTTTGCAATTTAATAATGTTGCTTTCAGATTATTAAAGAAGACATGGAATGTTGCTAGAATTTGATCTTCTCTGCAGTATATTAGTTCAGTTTCTCAAAGTGGCTATAACAGTGTGAAAATTGTGAATTCACTATCATGAGAAACTGATTGACAAATAAAAATGCCTTGGTGAAACTTCCGAGAATAATTCTCAGCACCTATTCTGTTTTAAAAGTCTTAAAAACACAATGAACAAAGTGTATGGAGCAAACGTTATTTGTTTCCCAGTCATTATTCAATATAATTGATCTGTGTTTAATGTAGAGATGGAGCACGTAATTCTAGTTCTATTCAAGCACTAAAAACTGAAGAGCTAATCCATCGTTTTCGTGCCAACCTCGTGATAAGTGGAAAGAGACCATATGAAGAAGATGACTGGGCTGAGGTGGTTATGGATGGTACATATTTTCAGGTGAATTGAGTGTTTCACATAACCATTGTACAATTGTTTAATCACTCTCTGATAAACTGCAAAGCAGTATTTACACAATATATGGTTCCTAACTAAATAATACAGCTTCTTTCACAAAAGTAAATGCATCTTTATTATTCTTAAATAGCTTGCTCTTTTTATATTTTAAGAATTTGAACCAGTTTATATACAGATTGTACATTTGGAGAGGCTGAGCTAATGCATTATGTTGACATGGTAAGCATTTCTGCTTTGGAATATGTGTCCCGAGTGCTGTAATTTTAGCATTGCTAATGTATTGGTTAGAGGGTTTGTAATTCATCACTGAAAATTAGGAGACAATCAAGAAAGGGTTTATTATATCAACAGCAGCAGCAGCAAAATTACATTTGTATAGCCCCTTTCACGTCAGGAGGACGATATCCAAAAAGGCATAAAGAGCTCTGGTACACTTTGAATAAATTAGGCTCTGCAAACAGACAAAACGGTAAACATTGCTGTATATTTTTTATATCAAATTACAGGGATAAGAAACATTCTGATTGGACATGGCCAGGCTGCTATAGATTCAATTCTTTTTTGTTTGTCTTTCCAATTGATTTTCTTTTGAGTTGCCCATCTTATACCCAAATAAGCACAGAATCGTTCGTTGATCCAGACAAAATATTGTTTTAGAAAGGCTACATTTGAATACTCATTCATCGTTTTAAAAATTTGAAAGACATAACCAATTATAAAGGGATTTGAGAGGCAGGTGGCTTTTGGAAGATAATCATAAAAAATATATTTACTTTGCAGGTGGTGGGGCAATGTAGCAGATGTCAAATGATTTGCATCGATCAAGTGAATGGAAAAAGAAGTAATGAACCCCTACAGACTCTAGCTTTGTGCCGTGATAGAAAGGTATGACTGGTTCTAGTTGTAGTCTTGCATTTCAGTGCATCAGGCTGGCTCATCTGGTAGTCTCGCTTGAGTCAGGTGGTTGTGAGTTCAAGCCCACCATTGTAACTTTGAACTTATATAGCCTAAGCTGACACTCCAATGCAGTGCTGGGGATGTGATGCATTGTTAGAAGTTCCAGAAACATAACATTTACACAGCGCCCCTTTCATTTTCTAAGGATATCTCAAAGTGCTCAAACTACTGGCTGGGCACCCAAACTGGGGGTGGGAGCCAAGGAAGGTCGGGTGAGAAAAGAGGACGAAAAGGATGGTCAAAGAGTTAGGTCTTGATGTGCCTTAAAGGGAGGAGTCACGGGGGCTCTAAAAATGGAGCTCTAGAGAGTGAGCGGGCGCATCTTGGCAAAGGCAGTGATTGCAATGCATAAGTGGGCAGGTCGGGTTGGGGAGAAGAGAAAGGGGTACGCGTGCATCTTGGTATGCCCCATACCTGGTTCATTAAAAACTGGCCAGGTAGCAACCCTACTTTTGAATGCTCTTCCAAAACCAAACCGCTATCTTTAAGTAGCTGTTTTCAACTGTGCCTTTCGGATCAGTGCCATTAAATCTCTAATTTCCCTGCTTCGTGCATTATTCAAGCACTTCAAGATGTTTCCTAATGTGAAAGGCACTATATAAATAGGAATTGTTATTGTAATACCAGATCCAAACTACTGGATGGCGCTGTCATGATAGACAATATCAATTCTATTGAAGAGCCCATTCCTGCCTCTTGGTGGTGTTTGGTCACATTGAGCTCAATAACACATGATATGAAAGTTGTGCAAAATGTAAAAAGGAATGTTCAAAAAGATATTTAAAAGGAAATTAATGGAAAGAGTGGAAGAAACAAAATAAAAAACTTAATTACAGATCTTGTAATCTCTTAATAGAAGAATATGGCTCTTCAATAGAATTGAATTGGTATCGACAGTTAGGACAATTAAACCCTACCTCCATGCTTTACCCCATTTCCAAAATATTGTTTCCTTTCCTGCACCAGGCTCCGTGAGCTATCATCAGTTCAGATCCAAGGAGAGCCCACTTACCTCCTCCTGCTCCGACCCGAAAAGAAAAGCATTTTTCACAGCAACAATTAAATAATCTGTGACCTTTTAACTAACTGCAGTTTCTTTACAGGTAACCTTTGGGGCGTACCTGATTCATCAAACACCAGGAATGTCAGAGTACTGCAGAGTGTTGTCTGTAGGATCTTTGGTTTCCTTTGTGAAAAAAGGAGAAGAAAAACCTGCTACACCTTCTGCTGGACATTAATATCCTCATCAATGATCTAGAAGTGATCTGAATGGCTTCTACAAGTGTGTAAGGGCTCTGAGACACTATTAAAATAGAAATAGATATGGTTTCAAATTTGGTCCTTCAAGCCTTTAAAATCCATTATTAATTGCAGTTATAATTTTGTTAACCTTGATAAAAATACTGATATAATGAACCTTTCCATTATTGTAGCATACAACTTCTAGGATGGTAGAAGGCGAATTAGATGGGCTTTGGTCTTTTTTNGTCCAGCAATTCCTTTGTTCTTAATAACCTGTAGTGTAGTGGTTAGCACACTTGCCTCACAAGCGAGAGGACCTGGGTTCAATTCTCAGGCAGGGCAAAACCTTAGGCAAGTTTCCTTACTCCACACACCTAGCAATAAGTAGGAACGCAGGAACGCAGTTTTTAGTGGATTGGAGGACTGCTTTCCGGGGCTAATAATCCCTTCAAAAAATAAATAATAATTTGGTCACTCAGTCCACGACTGTTTGTTGCAAACTGCTGTGCGCAATTGTCTGCCGTGTTTTGCCCTCAAAATATAATCAGTTCACTTTACAGTATATTCTATGCAGCACTTGGAGATGTCTCAACAATGTGATAGGCGCCAAATCAAATGCAATCAATATTGTAATATATATTGTTCATAAAGTTTGCACTGTTTTCTGGTGAAACCAAGAGAAGAAAATGGATTTTCCCAGATGTGGATAAGATTACATCAAGTGAGAAATAATTGTCCTAATCTGATTAAAGTCATTTCATTTGTTTCTTGTGCCTGACAGTTTTGTAGTGCAATTTGCCTTATATCGATGAGGACTGAATGGAATGACAAAATCATGGAAATCAATAATATAAAGGAACTAATTAATACATTCCAGTTTTAATTCATTTATGGATATTACTTTTTTTTAAGCCATTAAAATGGTATCTTTGGAAGAAATCCTCCTCCCAACTTTTGAATAGGCTACTAACTCACTGTCAAGATTCACAGATGATTAATGGTCACCTTGAAGAGATATCAAAAAGTGTCCAGCACCTCCTAGGACCATTTCTCAATAGGAACCAGGTGAGGAAAGTGATCACCATGCTTAAGAGTTCCATATAGACATACTACCTAAGCACAGATATTTCCAGGTCTGGAATGGAACAGAGTGTGGGGTATTGTTGGAGTTTAACCAGCAAAGTTGGTATCTAAACTCCAGCATTACCCCACACTCTGGGGTCCCAAAGCCTTGGCTCTTGCCAATGGGGAAAGAGTGTACGTTCTATTCCAGACCTGGAAATATCTAAAAATATCTAAAATATTTTGGAGATGTGGTAAAGCTGAAAGCCTCTGTCTCCCCATTCCCCAGCGGATCAAATTTAAGATTCTCGTCCTTGCATTCAAATAGTTCAAATGGGGAGGCAGTGGCGGAGGCAGGCAATATTTTGGAGGTAGGGTAAAGTTGAATGGGTCAGAGCACGGATGTATGGTTTAAAGGATTGTTTGACATTGCTTCCCAAAACCTCCAGGAGTGAAAAAAAGGTTTCTGAGATTTTTTTTAAATTACAGATTGGTCTCATCATCAGTATTCTCTCTTAAAGGTCAAATTGTTGTGAAAAGTGGGACTATCTTCAGTTTCCTTTGTATCTTTTACTTTTAGTTGCAGTTTGCCTTAATAGTGAATGCTGGAAGCTAGAGTAGCAATAATAATGCAAATATTGTCTATAAGGCAATATTGACAAACTAGTTTTGTTGTGTTAATGCAACTTCCAGCTCGCAAACATTGGCTTGGGAAATTTGTGTCCAGCAAGTTGTACATCCCATGCCAGCAAAGTGTCAATAATGGCCACTGTGCAAAACACAAGCAGGAAGTAGCAATATTTTGTAATTATCTGACAGGATTCACATTCCATTGGCAGCAAATTTCATAATCCAGAACAGGGTGATCCAACCTTTTGGCTGCTGAGGGCTGGATGCTACATTTGAGAAACGTCCGCGGGCTGTTTTTCCCTTGGAGAAACATAAAAGAATCATACAGAAATACAACATTTTAAATTGTGTGTATTTCTTAATAATGATCCTCTCAAATGGAAATGGTAATAATCCCTCCAAATAATAATAATGTGGTGACTCAATCTACGACTGTTTGTGGGACACTGCTGTGTGCAATTGGCTGCCATGTTTTGCCTACAAAATTCACAATCAATCAATTTACAGTGCATCCTGTGAAGCGTTTGAGACGTCTCAACGTGATAAGGTGCTATATCAAATGCAAGGATTGTTATATACATCAAATTTTGAATGTATTAAAGTCAAAACCCAAGATTTCAACTCGGCATATAGAGGCCCCTACAGAGAATGCTCAACACGACAACAGATTAATCCATAATTGCAAAACTAAATGAACTTCAACACAGATAGGAGTTGGAAGCAAACAAGGCACTGAAGTTTTCCATTACTCTCAATAAACAAGTAATCCACTTCTCACTTACACTGAAATCCTTCCTCTATTTTCCAGATCTACCTTGCGTTTCCAACTGAGACTCAGTTCTCTAGTTTTAGAATTGCAAAATAGTCCTGCTGCTGCTCACTGCATCTCACCAGATTACACGAGGCTCGAAGCAGTGTGAAATGCGCTGGGGAGGGAGGAAGCGGGAGGATACGCACTCCAAGATGCCTTCCAGCGTGTAGGCCTCTATATAAATGCACGTTGTTGTTGTTGTTGAAACCTCCCACTCTGCCCCTCTTCCTATCACTCTCCAGGCTGCCTCATGGAGACCGACCACAGGAGAGGTACATCTGGGAATTAAAACAGTGAAGATGGAAATGGTTTGTGGGCCAGACAAAATCATCTGGCTGTGGCCTGTTTGACCAAGCTTGGTCTAGAAGTTGTGATCAACACAAATCCAAGTTGCGAATATCAAATTTTGTATCCTAATATCTTGTGGATACTTCAAAAAATGAGTTCTGGTTAAATATTTGTTAATTAATTTTTCTCAGTCTAAGTCCCAATGCCTAATATTAGATTCAATCACTCAGCCGGTTCTCCTGATAGAATCAGTATTTACAGTTCGTAACAAACAGAGAAAGGGAATAAGACCGACAAAGACAACTGAGGTTTAGGAATTGTAATGGTATTATTCCCTCAATTTAGATAGTTGATTTTTTAAAATCTGTTATGCACATTAGATTAGCTTTTTGTGATAATTACCATAGCAGTTCTCATTGCTTTTTTTAAAAAAAAATTGATCTCACCCCATCAATATCCTCTCTTGAAGGTCATATTATTTTAAAAAATAGGACTATCTTCAATATCCTTCATCTGTATCTTTTATTTTGAAATATTTATTTTTAGATACCCCCATCCCTGCTCAGCTCCATTGCATCCTTATTCCCTAGTGGATCAAATTTAAGATGCTTTTCCATGCACTCAAATCCCTCCACGACTCTTTCCTTTTTTTTTTCAATGTGCGATATAACAAAAAAAGTTACAAAAGGAAAATATATATATATATATATATATATTCAGGTCAATTAACTCTTACCTTCTTTCTCTCTCCCCACTCCAACCCACCCCCCACACCCCACACACACACGCACAAAAAACATATTGGGGTGGTAGGGGAGGTGGGAATTTTTGTGACGCAAAAAGAATCCCATCCCTGGCCACTGCTGCCTGCTCTCCTCCCCCCCCACCCCTGCGCCCCCCATGGGTAGGTGACTGGGTAAATGGTGCCCGAATGCCCACCACCACCACCATCCAAAGACATGAAATTTTTTTTGCCTCCTTTCTCTTTCTCCCAATCACCCTTACCCCCCCACATCCCCCCCCAACCAATCCCCACTCATCTCAGAGCACAGGGGTGGGGGGGGGGGGAGGAAACAGGGAAAAGCCCCACATTTTCCTATCCTATCGCTGAAATTCCACTCAGGTTGAGACTTAAATCCATTTCGTTCAAATCTTAAGCTTGGCGCGAGAATTTTATTTTATTTTTTTAAACAAACGATTTTAAGTCACCTTCGGCCGCAGCTGATTATTTGTAATTATTAGTAGTATTGTTATTATGTGGAGTCCTGTAGCTCAGTGGTTAGAGCACTCGCTTTGCAAGTGAGAGACCTGAGTTCAATTCCAGGCAGGTCAGGGCGAAACCTTGGGCAAGTTTCCTTACTCCACACACCTAATAATAATCCCTCCAAAACCAAAAACAATAATAAATTGGTCATTTTCAATCTACGACTGTTTGTGGGACATTGCTGTGCGCAATTGGCTGCCGCGTTCGCCCACAAATATACAGTCAATTCACTTTACAGTGTGTTCTGTGAAGCGCTTTGGGACGTCCTCCCGATGTGAAAAGCGCTATATCAAATGCAAAGATTATTATTATTATTTCCTACCCAACCTACCTATGACCTCCTTTAGTTGCTCCATTTGTTCCGAAAACAACCGCCTGCTTAATATCCCCTGCTCAAACAACCCCAACATCAATGGCCGAGCTTTTAGCCATAGTACCCCAACTCTCTGGAATTCCATGCCAAAGTCCCTCCACCTTACTCCCTTGCTCCCCACAGTTAAAGTCCTATCTTTGCACTCTGATTACTCTCCCTGGTCAGTTCATACTTGTCCTTAGGCAAGTTTCCTTACTCACACGCCTGTTTACCTAGCAGTAAGTAGGAACCCAGCTGTTAGTCGATTGGCGGATTGCTTTCTGGGGTTAATAATACCTTCAAAAAAAATAATTTGGTCACTCGATCCAAAATAGTGCTGTGCACAATTGGCTGCCGCATTTCGGCCACAAAATATTTGCTACACTTTACAGTATATTCTGTGAAGAGCTTTGAGACCTTGCGTAAGCTAAATACTCTTGAGTTTTGCGTATGGCTCAATTCAAACATACTGGCATGAAAAGCAGCCATTTTGATTGCTCAAATGTCACCTGGAAGAGCTCATGAATTTAAATCTGAACATTATTACGTAATCTGGCATAAAAACAGAGTGAGATCAAATCAGCACTTTTAACTAAGTTGGTATTTCAATTAAAATAGTGGTTTTTTTAAACCTACACTGAAAGAGAAATCTATTAAATGGTTGAGTGTAAAGTGCTAAAAGAAATTAAGAAATAAACTTCACTAACAAAAGGAAAGATTTTCTTGGACTGGATCATATACTGGAAACTCTTCACTCCTGAGTTTTTTTGATTTTATATATTATATACACACACACACTATTCTAAAACACTGCATCTTTTACTGCTTTGGAAAAGATTAATATTTTGAGCTGACCATAAACTGGGATATTCTTAGTATACGTTTCCATAAACATGTATATAAAATTATTTGCATGAAGAAACATTTGGCACATTACTTGCAGTTTTTCCCTTTACATTCCTTTGTTAAATGAAAACCATCCCTGTATTTCCATCTAGTTTTTATTTTGGCTGTAAAACCTTTTGTACACTTTTCGAAATGTCACGATGGATAAAATACATTTAGAACAGCTGTCAGCTATTCCCTTACTTGGAATATTGTTTCAAGCAATATAATAGAAGCAAAAACATTGATGCTCAAAATAGAATTGGATACCGTAATATGAGGAGTTAATGTACAAGAGGAATTAGCTTTCATGCATTGAATTGCCTTCTCTCAATGGCAGATCTTTCACAAATGGCTAGCTACAAGCTGGAGACTCATCTAGCAATGTTAGTTATTGTCTATAACCACAGTAAAATTATTGGCAAGTTTTAAGACTGAGAATAGGGGATGTTTCAGTTGGTTATGTAGTAACCTGTCTACC